CGGTCACAGCCGGCAACCAACTTTGGAGATGAGGATTTGGCGAGCCAGGACGATTTCGTTCGGCAATTTAACGAGCACCATCCGTATTTTTTTTTAATTGTATATTATGAATTTTAAAATTTAATTGTATATTATTTAGTTATTTATAAAATATTTAGTTATTTATTTTATTTATAATTTGGTTTTTTAAATTTTTTACTATGACATTACGAGGACCTTACGAGGAAAAGTTATCCACGCGTTTATGAGGAAAAGTTTTCTCGTAAATTAGTTAGGACCTTACGAGGAAAAATGCTTTACGATAAACATGTTTCGACGAAACGCGTTTCCTCGTAAGTTCCTAGTAAATGGTCATTTACTAGGAAATAACGAGGATCCTAGTAAAGGACGAGTTTTCTTGTAGTGTTTGTAGAAGGTACTGAGCAAGCTCTCCTTACTGAAACCATGATGAAGACAGTGAGTGATGAAGTCATTAAATCTCTCCCATGCTTCACCAAAGCCTTCAAGGTTCTTTTGAATGAAAGCATATATCTCATTCCTAAGCTTAGCTGTCCTTGAAGTAGAGAAAAAATTGTGAGGAAGGTTTTCTTAGATTCATCCCAAGTGGTGATAGAGTCTCTTGAAAGGCTCTTCTCCCAAATGTGGGCTTTGTCTCCCAAAGAGAATGAGAACAATATCAGCTTGAAAGCATCTTCAGAAACACCATTGATCTTTGTTGTCCCACATAGCTTATCAAAGTTATCAAGGTAGTCTAGAGGATCTTCCAAGGCAACACCATGATACTTGTTGCTCTGGATCATGTTGATAAGGCTTGACTTGATCTCATAGCTGGTGTTCTGAACAGCTGGAGCTCTAATACACATCCTACTCCCATGGATGTGACGCTCATCATAAGCACCAATACTCTTTGGTTGGCGTTGGTTTTGGTTACATCTAAGGTTGGCAGTTCCTTGACCAATGATTTCTTGAAGAAGGACAGCCTCATATTGAGGCAAGTTTTCGTTTCTCTCCATCTCTAGCCTCAACTCTTCTAAGTAGGCTAGCCTTTCTTCTTCCCTTCTCCTTCTTAGTAAATCCCTCTTTAGGATTTGTATATCTTGAACTTCAGGTATGAAGTTTGCAGCTTCTCTACTTCTCAGGTTCATACACCTATCAACCAAGTCAAGAGATATAAAGAAAGAAGAGTTTAGTAACTTAAGTAAGTAAATAAGATTTAGTCTCAAGCAATAATTAAATCTCAATGTCAAAATCAACTCAGAACTGGCAATGGCGCCAAATTGATAAGAGTTTTTAAGCCTTAGAGCAAATCAAAGTAGTATTTTAGATGTCAATCTAATCTTTAGTGTTAATGAACAAAGAGAATGCAAGTCATTGTATTAAGCTAAATGCAATCAAAGGGATTTGATTTATAGGTAACAATGTAACTAGCAATGTAAGTAAACAAGAATAACTAAGCCTTGTTTCAAAGAGAAAGGAGAACCTATGGGTAAGGGTATTGACTTTAGGTGATCAATTTACTATCTAGGGTGAGGTTTCAAGCAATCATTCATATCCTATAGGTCTAGACACAATCCTAAGCTAGTCCTTTGTCAAGATAAAAGCTCATTTGCTATCAATCTATAAACACAAAGGTCACTGGTCTAAATCAATCAAACAATCATTGAGAACAAGTCTACTAACCATCTAAGACTTCCTAACATGAAGTGTCCTTGGTTAAGCAAGCAAAAAAAATTATTACTTTGGTTCAGGCATTTCATCATACACCTTGTGGGCAGAAAAATGTCTAATGATCTAGAATAGAAGGGTTATCCCTAATCTAGCATAAAAATCAAGTAATAAGCATAGAACAAGAAGGATCTAACACTAATCACCCTAGATCATCACTCAATCACTCTAATCACCGTAATCCGTAAGCTCAAAGAGAATCTACTCACTAATCTTCATGTTTAATTCTAAACCCATAATGGATAGAAGACTAATCATGATTAGAAGAAGAGATAGACTCAAATTACTCAAGAAACAAAGATTAGATCAATCAAGGATTCAACTTTCTAATATGTTTTTGAGAGAAAAGAAGATAGATTTGCTCATGATAAACAAATTCATCACTATCTTCTCTTCACCAAATTACTATGATTAGTTGGATAATGATATAGCCTTCGTTTTACCGTGCCAAAAATTTATTCCAAAGATTAACACATTCAAAGCAGTGGATCAGCCAAAGGTTAATAAAATGAGATATGCAATGATGTATGTCAGTGATAGAGAATTGTAGAGAAATCCAAATTCAGGGGATATTTTCGGAACCAAGTGTTCTGGTCGGTTCCATAATCTTTCGTGTTTAGATTCTGATTGTTGATGTGTCTTAGTCCAGAGTCTATTGTGTTTAGCTTCTGACTGTTCATGTGTCTTGTCTTGTTTCTTACACAGATATATATATATATATAAATAGGTTAATTTGTGATATAAATATTAAACAAGAAAAATTGACAAAATGACCATCCCCGAAAAACTGTGTCAATCTGTGACATAAATAGACAACGCAGCCCTTTTTGCGGGTGTGCCTGAATATAACATACACACCAATGAAATACGATTCTAATCAATCTATCCATATAGAGTCGACTGTTTAAAACATAATTGTAATTATATAAAAGAATTTGATTTCCTTTATAAGACAATAGCAGTAAATATATGAGTGAAAAATAAACAATGAAGAGTAAGTAAAGAGGTATAAGATAACAAAGTGGAGGCAAGTGAAGATGAAAAAGAGAAAACAAAAGTGAAGAAGTAGAAAATAAGGCAGAAAATGAATAATGAGAAGTGAAGAGAAAGAGGAAAATAATGTAGATGGTGTGGTCAGAAATAATGAGTGAGGTCTGTGGAGGAAGTGTGATGAGTGAGAAAAATGTGAGAAGAAGAGTGGAGAGTTAAAAGTGAGGAAGAACCCGGAGGAGCAATATATGAGAAAGAGGAAAAATATATAAAAGAGAAAGGTAAAGAAAAAGATGAAAGAAAGGTGAACAAAAACAAAGAAGAGGAAAAAGTGATGAGATAGTATAACATACTATATTGTACCATTAAAATAGAATAGTATCTAGTATTTAAAATATATTACTTCCAATTATATATCAGTTGTATGAAGAAAATATGACAGAAGATCTAGAATTTAGTTGAGTTAAAACTATAGACAAATCAATGTATATCAACTTCTTTTTAATATATATATTCAAGTATGATGTTTCATTTGAGTTAGATATTAAACTATTCTGTTTATCAAACATAATAAAACAAATCAAAATATACACTATAACATATTTCATACATATCATAGTTCATTTTTTCAATTATGAATCACATATTCATTGTTGTTTTTTGAATCATCAAATCATTTGTACAAATAGAGAGATTTTAATTTTTTTTCTATTCTATACAAATTATATAGAAGAGAATGAGATATTCGTATTAGTAACAATTTATATATTTTGAAATAAAATTTTATCCATTTGAAAAAAATTAAAATATAGTAAAAATTATGTATGATTTATTCTGACATTATTTGGGTAAATTATATTAATAAATAAAATAGAAATCAATTAAAATGAGAGGGGAAATCCAGAAAACAGAAAAAAAAAATGGAAAAAGGAATCAGAGGTTGACATTGTTTAAGGATAGATATAGTAATAGTACATAATAATGGTTATGGTTATTTGGTGAATTATTTTTTATGGTTATACATGCTAATTTATCTATATATATAACTCACCGTAAAACAAATCTCTGAAACTAACATTCAAATTCATAAAACCAAAGACATAACATAAAACTAATGTAACAATTAAATATAAATAAAAACTTACATGTTAGAATGATAGGGAAGAGAGAGAGAAATTTTTATAGATTTGGAGAGATATAATTGAATGGGGAAGGAGAAAAAAATCAGTCAAATGTGTATAAAAGTTTTGGGTCGATTCGTATCCGTTAGGAATTTTTCATTGTAAGTGGTCCCAAAAATATTAACACTTTTTCTCCGAGTAAATATCGAACTTTTCGGCAGATTCTGGTAGAGAATTTCATTTTTCGGTTAACAAGACCTTAAAGACGTACTTGAGATTTAGGGTTAACAAATACAAAGAAAACATATCAATAATATATGTATACATTAAAAAATAATTTAATGAGGTTAATGACTGTTTTATGCCTTCAAAATCACTTGTAAACATATTTGAAATAATATTGACGAATTTACAGAATCATTGTAGTATAAGATAAGCTAACACTTAGTCTGATTCGTTTCATTTATTGTATTTAAATTTGTAAAATTCAGTTATTGAGCATATGTTATATCATATGAAAATTGAAGTGTTATTATAGTATATGTTCATCTTTAACAATTTGGGTATTACTTATTTTACACTTACTTTTAAACTGCAAGTCATAGGAAATTTTTGACAGATTTAATAAAAATAAATATTTATATTATTTTTCTGAAATTTAAAATTATTTAATAAAAATAAATATTTATTTAAATCCATTAGCATTCGTTAAAATTTCTGGGTGTTTCGCGGCATATTTAATAAAACTAAATATTTTAAGGAAAAATCTTCGTAAATATCTAACATCCTCCCGATGAATTTAATAAAAATAATTATTTATTTGAGTTCTTCAGGAATTTATTAAATATTTTTGATAATTTAATTAAAATATAAATATTTAATTTTGTCAAAATATTTGATGAATTTTCTACAGATTTAAATACATCAGGAATTTCGGACTTATTTGTGATATAGCTTATTTTGTAGATATTTCATCGTGTATTTGTGGAAAATTCCTGACAAATTTAGTTTCATCATAAATTTCGTCGGAAATTCCTATATTTTATTGTAGTGTAGGTCATCAAAGCTCAAAAGATCTTGTTAACTTGAAAAAAGTCTAACACACTACACACATTTACTAATAGCATTTTGAGGATATTTAAAATTTGCGATTTAAATACTTCACAAATAAATTTCTTATTTTTAACGTTTGTATATTACATAAATATTTTACAGATTTTGAAAAAAATTTGTCAACAAAGATTTTTTTCTATGTGCAACCTCTGTCAACTAATTTTTGTAAGTATAGAGCAGGATATAATAGTACATCCATATTTTTTACGGCAACTTGCATGTGACATTTCTTTTGTCGTTTATATCAGCGAGTGGTGAACATATAAATTCTTTCCGGTTAGCCTGGTTGACCATTTGAAGGACACAAATCTCGTCTGGAGATGCTTCTTGGCGATCTCTCGAAGAAACTTTATTGCAGTTTGGACGTATTATCTCACCATATGATTTGTTTGTACATCGTAATATACCATAAGTCCACGCACCTGCCAATGCTCCAATAATCGGTGAAACAATGTATAACCATAAATCCTTATAACATCCCCATATAAGTGCAGGCCCTAAGCTTCTTGCTGGGTTCATTGATGCTCCGGAGATGGGCCTACTCATTTTATCAAAAACATGGAATTTTATCGCACGTTTGTATAAAACAAATATAATAACTTTGTAAAGAATATTTTAATGGCTTGGACTAACTACCCGCAGAACAGAATGTCGAGTACAACAGTCGCGCCAATAGCAATTCCTGCGAATGATCCATTGGCTCGTTTATCAGTAGCTACAGCCGAGATAACGAACATCAAGTTGAAAGTAGTGATGAACTCCATTACAAACGATGCCATGTTGGAACTTGAAGGGTATGTTCCCACATAAACATCTCCTTTGAGGCTACAAACGTTCTCATTCAGATGGAACACAAGTCGTAGAGCCTCAGCAGCTAAAGTTGAGCCGAGAACTTGTGCGGCTATATACCCCGGAACCTATATAAAGAGATTGGTCAAAACTTTATTAATTATACATAAAGTTAATTTATAGCTTAAGTTGGTACATGATATTCACGAAAAACGAAAAAAAAAATTTGGAGTGGAATATGATGATTATATGGGATAACATCTTGATTCGATTATGAATTTTCGGAAAGACATTTCCTTTTGGATTTTGATTATTGATATTGCAAGATCATCAAATGGGTGGATAAAAATGTGATCATGATTCATGCATAATGTATGATGTAAATATCGAAATATATCTTGCATTTCGTGATACGCCTGTCATACAAAACTCTATATACTATGTGGTGAATGGAGACAACTGTATCTGTAACACTATATGAAAATAATAACTAATTAGTTGATACTAGTATGTGGTACCTGTTGAAATGGGAACTTTCTAGAAGAGGCAAAGGCAATGGATACAGCAGGGTTGAAATGTGCACCGGAAACATGACCAATTGAGTATATCATAACCATTACGGTTAGTCCCCATACCAAAGCTATACCAGGAAGTGTTACTGCTTTACCGTACGTATCATTTACCACGATGGCCGCGCAGCCGGCAAATATGAGAGAGAATGTGCCCACGAACTCGCCAATCAACTAGAATATACGATTTCAGCTGAAGCTATGTTATTAATATCCTTAAGAAACTAAATGAAACTTTTAATTAAGTTACATATTCCGATCAATTAAAGGAAACCGATTCAGACAGATCTTTTTCTTAGCTTCAACGTCATTATCAATACAACATTACAAACGCCTTAAAAGTCTTTAAGAAAACTTTAAACTACGTTATTTTTTGTTTGTTATATATAGAAACAAAACTATACCAGACCGATCCAATATAGTTTTTTTTGGCCGACTGATCCAGTATAGATGTTAATTCGGTTTGGTTATTATACTTTTCAAATTTATTTGAAAAACACAAAACAACGTTGAAACTGAACAGACATATGCTAATCATGAATTAGACTAGTTAATATCAAATATCAATACGTCTCCATAACGTTAGGAAAACATGTAACAATAAAAAAGTTAACTAATATCATTACCTTTTGAACGAAGGATACGGATACAAGTGGACGCGAAAACCCCGGTGATCGGAAATCACCTCCTGATCCACCGTCTTCGATGTCGAAGGTTGTAGTTCGTGTCTGTGGAGTAGTATCAGAGATCTCAGCCATTAATGAAAGCTCTTTGTCCAAAAATGTTTTATAGTTTGATCATCTGAAAACCCAATGTCAACCCTAGTTTGTACTCGTTTATAAGCAAATAGAAAGTTGACTTTATATATTATATAGCGTATGTTGATCAATTCTTGTTAATAGAAGAAAAGAGTGGCTAGCATTAAAGAATATCATTATAGAGGGCGGACCTTAGAGCATCCCCTCAGTGAACATTATGGGGAGAGGTTCATAAAAAAAAAATTTGTCGAATCACAGCCCGACACGTGGCGAAATTGTGACGAACCGGGTTCACCACGACGAATCCACGCGCGCCGGGTTCATCACTGTTCCTCTCGAAAAACGTGTGAACCCTCCCTTAAAACCCCTAATGGGGATGCTCTTAATGAGAAGTATGCACGTCACTGGCGGAGATAGGTTAAGGAGATTGGGGTGAATTACCATATGAATTTTTTTAACGTCTTTGGGGTGAATTACCATATGTTTTTCTTAACGTTTGATTAATTTTATTATTATTACACAGAAGATTATACAACCAAAAATTCTACCATTCTATAACAATATACGTCTGACTGCATCACTCCGAATCATCCTATTAGATTCATGTTCGATAGTATGCCATGCACAATATTGAAAATCTCTTATAATTTTTTTCTTCATAATCTGCATAATTTTGTTTTCTAGGGTTTGAACCCTAAAACTCATGGTATAAAAGTATTAGTAAACCATTTACTATCAAATTTTTGTAAAATAAAATTATACATATATTTTGAAAAGAAAATTTGCTATTTATATACTTATGTTTTATGGACCCAGATATATTTGCCCGAGAAAAATCAATAAGGGGAATACTTCTACTTTATTAAATTGAACCATTCTTTTTATCTACTAATACAAGTTGTCATTTAAATTTGGACCATTTCTAGAGTGTTACAAATAATACAAGCCATATAGTTAATTGAACCGCATTACTTAAATTAAATCGATGGTTATTTTATGGGACATAGTCTTGAGCTTACTTTTGCCTTTATATGGTTTAGTTTTTGGATTTAGTATTAAAGAAAAACTCTAAAAAACATTGAATAAATTTTCTACTTTAATGGATCAAAAAATAAATTATTATTTTCAGGACCAAAATGTATTTACATTTTTTTAACAAAACAAAATTGCCTATTATTAATCATTTATTTAAATCATGTACTTTAAAACATGTTAATTTATTTTTTATTTTAAATAACAATCACTTTGTTTTGATAAATGTTAGTGGTAACTTTTAAATAATTTATTTTTTATTTTTCTTAAATAATTTACTGATTTAAAAAAAATGTAAAGCAAAACAAAAAATCAAATCTAAAAACTAAAATCCAAAACCAAAAGCTGAAAACGCAGGTTATATATTTTGGTTTTGTTTATTTACAAAATAAATTAATGCAATTTTTATAAAAAAAACTTTGTCATCTTTTCAGTTTTACAAATAGATGTTCGATTATTTGGGATTTGTTTGTTGGTAATATCAGTTCAAACTAATTCAGCGGGTCTAAAAATTAAAAATCCAAACCAAAAGTTGAAAATCAAAAATAGAAACTTAAAAACTAAAAACCGAAAACCAAAATCTAAAACAAAATATAAAAATAAAAACTGAAACTAAAAAATAATGAAAAACAATCATCACCACAAATTTTGGTGAACTGATTTTATATCAAAACATTCTTTAAATTAAGACAAAACCCAATTATATAAAATTTTAATCATAAAGAAATTCCGCGATTGAAAAGCACGGGTCAAAATCTAGTGTGTTATTATTGTATAAACATAAGGTTCCCTTATATAGAGAGTTACATGATCCCAGAAAAGGAAAAACCTAAACCAATTAGGAAAAGGAAATAATACAAAACCTAATACAATGGGGAAAAGGAAAAAAACACCAAATCCTAATCCAATAAGGATTAGGAATACTCGGCCGACCTAGAACCTTAATGGGCCGGTCCGGTCCGGTTCCGGTTCCAGTAGGGCCGGTTGTGGACATCCACACCATTTGGTTCATAACACTCCCCCTTGGATGTCATAACCATGTAATACACTTTGGATGTTGCCTTATTAAAACCTTTCTAGGAAAACCCCAAACACCCAAAGGGATAAAATCCGGGTAAAAACATGGATAAGAAAAAAGAGTACAACACGTATTACTCCCCCTGATTTTTTACCTCACTGAAAGTCTTTAAGTCGACACATCCCGATCTGATGCGTGAGCGTCTTGAACGTTGAGGTTGGAAGTGACTTTGTGAATAGGTCTGCTGAATTGTCACTTGAACGGACTTGTAGCACTTGGACCCCGCCGGGTTTCTGTAAATCGTGGATTTAGAAGAACTTGGGTAGAATGTGCTTTGTCCTATCTTCTTTGATGCAGCCGTCCTTAAGCTGAGCAATACAAGCTGCATTGTCCTTGTACATGATGTCGCTTCTTCTTTTTCCTTTGGCTATCCTACAATCTCTTCTACTATGTTGGGTCATGGACCGCAACCAGACTAACTCACGGCTGGCCTCATGGATGGCCAATATCTCGGCATGACTGGATGATGTGGCCACCATTGTTTGTTTCATGGACCGCCAAGCTATAGCAGTACCACCGTGTGTAAGAACATTTCCTGTCTGAGATCGAGCATTGTGTGAATCTGAGTTAAAACCTGCATCACCAAAACCAATTAACCCTTCCTTGGGTTGGTTAGTATAATATAGACCCAAGTCTTTCATTCCTTGTTGGTAACGACAAACATGTTTAATCCCGTTTTAGTGCCTTTGGGTCGGACATGAACTAAATCTAGACAATAAGTTCACTGCAAAATATATGTCCGGCCTAGTATGGCTCGCCAAATACATTAAGGCTCCGATGGCAACGAGGTATGGCACTTCGGGCCCGAGGAACTCTTCATTGTCCTTCTTAGGACTAAACTGGTCCGTATCTAGACCAAGGGATCTCACGACCATGGGCTCGACAATGGGTGAGCTTGGTCCATATTAAATCTTTTGATCACTTTCTCTGTATATGTCTTTCGATGCACAACGATTCCACCCTTAAGGTGTTCAATCTGTAATCCCAAACAAAATTATGTTTTGCCCAAATCTTTCATCTCAAATTCTTTCTTAAACCGTTTGGAAAATTTCTCTAGGGGTTCCTAGAATATTCAGGTCATCAACATACACTGATATGATTACAAAGCCTTTGTCGAATTTCTTTATGAATATGGATAGGCTTATTGGATCATTATTATATCCCTCTCTCACTAGGTACTCGCTTTGTCTATTATACCACATTCGACCTGATTTTTTCAATCCATAAAGTGATTTGTTCAAATTTATACGATGTTGTTCTCGAGAACTTGCTTTGTCTTTCTGCTCAATACCCTCTGGTACTTTCATGTATATCTCATTATCCAGTGGACCATATAAATATGCAGTTACTACATCCATTAACTGCAAGTCTATGTTCTCTCTTATGGCCAGATTTAATAGGAATCTAAAGAAGTAGCATCTACCACAGGGGTGTATGTCTCCTCACAATCTATTCCTGGTCTCTGTGAGAATCCTTGTGCAACCACTCATGCCTTATATCTCACGACTTCACCATGTTCATTTCCTTTCCTCATAAAGACCCATTTATGTCCAACTGGTTTAATATCAAGAGGTCCAAATTATTGGGACCAAAGACATTTCTCTTCTTTAAAGAATTTAACTCCACGTTATGATTACAAAGCCTTTGTCGAATTTCTTTATGAATATGCATGGGCTTATTGGATCATTCTTATATCCCTCTCTCACCAAGTACTCGCTTTGTCTATTATACCACATTCGACCTGATTTTTTCAATCCATAAAGTGATTTGTTCAACTTTATACAATGTTGTTCTCGAGAACTTGCTTTTTCTTTCTGCTCAATACCCTCTGGTACTTTCATGTATATCTCATTATCCAATGGACCATATAAATATGCAGTTACTACATCCATTAACCGCAAGTCTATGTTCTCTCTTATGGCCAGATTTATTAGGATTCTAAAGTAGTAGCATCTACCACAGGGGTGTATGTCTCCTCACAATCTATTCCTGGCCTCCGTGAGAATCCTTGTGCAACCACTCATGCCTTATATCTCACGACTTCACCATGTTCATTTCCTTTCCTCATAAAGACCCATTTATGTCCAACTGGTTTAATATCAAGAGGTCCAAATTATTGGGACCAAAGACATTTCTCTTCTTTAAAGAATTTAACTTCACGTTTATAGCTTCTTTCAGTTTGATCCAATCTGATCGTTGAGTGTACTCATAGATAGACGTGGGTTCATGATCCTCGTTCATGTTCATAATTTCAAGTGATATGTTGCATGCAAATATATAATCAATGTCGACATTCTTTCTGCTCCATAATATTCCAGACATGACATAATTGATTGAGATCTCATTATTATCAGGACCTTCAGTACCTTGAAGTTTGCGTCCCAAGCCCCATTATTTGGCACTTCAGGTTCGGCCGGTTCGTCCGGCTCGCCCATGTCTAGGGTTCCCTCGACCACAGGTTGGTTTTCAGCACCTTTCTTTTGTTTCCGAGGGTTCTTATTTTTGGAACCTATTGGTCTATCACGTTTCGAATGTGATCTTGACTCTGTAGTAACTTGACTGTGTCCTTCTTGGACATCAATACTAATTGGTGCATTCACAGCTGGTATGTATGACTTTGTTACTCTATTCGGTTCAGCAAAAGAATTTGGCAATTGATTAGCTAGCTTTTGTAAATGTATTATTTTTAGACTTGTAAATCACATTCCCGAGTCTGAGGATCTTGCCAGGATAAAGATGGTTGAGACCATGAATTTTTTTTTACTTTTACCAGCTTATTATTATCTCCCCTTAATGTTGGATAGTTGGATTCATCAAAGTGACAATCTGCTTACCTGGCCTTAAACAAATCACCCGTGGTTGGCTCAAGGTACTTAATTATTGAGGGAGATTAATATTCAACATATATCCCCGTCCTCCTTTGAGGTCTCATCTTAGTTCTCT